TGTGAGAACTGTTACTTAGTTTTCCAGATCTTAATATAATTTTTAGGTGTACGATATTTAAGATATATTGTAAATTTTAAGTTAGATTCAACAGGTTTTTTTATATAACCTCCTCTAAAAGCTTACACACGGGTGGGGTGTGAGCTTTCACCAACTAAACCTTCACCCTGACAAAGGTGTAAAAAATAAAAAATAGCAAATAAAAAAGTAAATTAAGTCTACTGATGAATACTTCTTACAAAATACCAGATCAAGGTTAATTGCATTGTTATCTCTGTATAAAAATTACCCATTAAATTTGTATTTTGAATTGGTTGAATAATGTAGCTATTCTTTTGGTAGAACCCTTTAAAATTAAAGTAAAACATTAGACCTCTTTGCCCCTGGCCGTCCTCATTTACCCCGCATATGGGTTAAAAACGACCAAGTTGCAATTTTTCGAAAAATTGCAAAAAAAAACATTTCTAGAAAGATGAGTGAGTTAGCTGGGAATTGTCAGATAGATGTTTATTTGATATGTGTTATTTGTTATGGTATAATTATTTTGGTATATAATTGTGCCTTTGTGCCCCGCCCTACCCTACATTATTTACTGTCAAAGCTTCATACGAAAGATGTATGCAGTGTAATATTTGTATAAAATATTCTCATGGCATATGTATTTCAAGCAGAAGGTATATTTACCTCATTTGTAACAATTGATCTGTTTTAATTGATCAATAAAACAGAAATACCTATAAAAGCAATATTTATAACAGTAGTAAGAGTTGATAGATTTTTGTAAATTATGTTTAGAAATATATATTAAGATTATGATTCGTAATTTTGTTGTTCAATTAAATAATATAGCGATTGTTCGTGAAAGCCCTTTGAAATAAAAAAAATGAATTTTTTCCCTGGCAAACTCAGAAGCGAGGTAAATAAGGACAAAAGACAAATTCTAGAAAAAATAGCATAAAAGTCTATTTCTGCAATAATTTAGCTCGGTATTTGACTGAACATAGGGTGCTGATACAAATTTTCGTCGACGATTTCGGGAACACGAATGAAGCGATTTGAATAATTCAAAAAAAATTCGATTCGTATTGATAAGGAGACGTGCTGATTAGTTTTTGGCGAAGGCAGGTCTAGCCGTTCCGAAGATATGTGGCAAAAAGTTTAAAAGAACGGAGCGTCCGATTTGAATAATTCAAAAAATATTTTACTTGTATTAACAAGATGAAGAACTGATCAAATTTCATGAAGGCAGGTCTAGCGGTTTCGGAAATCTAGCCAAAAAAGTAAAAAAAGCCATTTGGCGGTCAAAAATGATCATTAGACGTTCAAATTATCAGATATTTTAGAAAAATTTTAACAATAAGTATAAATTTCGTTAACATTCCTATGGGTTCCGTACCAATGTTCATCCGTTAGACGGCGACGCGGCGCTTACGTGCTTCGATATTTCGTCTCTATGCAGTTAAAGCAGTACGATTGCTTTAAACAAAAGTTCAGAATTTCCAAAATATTTCAAAATAAATTTTTCCTCAAAAAGTCTTTTTTTAAAAAAAAAAAAAAGTAAATTTTTGTCAAAAAATTTATAGTTTCTCAAAAATCTAATTATTTCAGAGTAAAATTTTTTCAAAAATGTTATTTAAAAAGAAAAATTGGCACGGAAAGTTCCAGCAATTTGCCTTAAGGCACGATGCCTTATTATTTATTACTCTAAATAAATAAATTTATGAAATCACTTACAATTCGAAACGAATATAACAACCTTCTGAAAGTGAAGCCCTAACGTGAAGCCCGATGTCAATGACTTAAGGGTTATCGAATTAATCTAAATGGAACATCGGAAGTAACACAAACGAATGCTTTTATAATTATGTATTATTAACTTCTTCTTCTGTAGCGAATTTTCTTCTATTATTCAAAGATTATGTAATCACCTTACCCTAATTCAGTGGTCGGAAACATTTTATTAGCGACATGCTAATAGTTTTGTTTATTGAAAGTTTAGGCACGTGCAGATATTATTTAGTGTTACATACTAAAGGGATTGTACCAAACCATAAAATATGATTCTGATTCGCATCTACCTTTTATAATAGAATATTATACATGCAATGTAATTTAATACACTGTATAAAACATGTAATATAATATATTGTATAAAACATACAATATATTAATATCTATGGAAATGAATAATATATTAATATATATGAAATATTTTCCGATCATTAAATTTAAAACACAGAATAATTAGTTGAAAGTGGCATTTTGCCTTACGACAAGTTGCAAAAACTTTCCGATAGGTGTAATAATTGACTTAATGAATCGAAATTGGGATTTAGATTTTTTTCGCTTTCAATACCGATTTACAATTGATATTTTCCAAACACATTTATAATATTTGTAACCTTATTAATTACAGTGCACAGATACATTCCCGTTTGTATGTCCTAAAATTGTAGCCTTATTTCTAAGTTAATTAATTTATATAATTCAACCAATTTTCGTAGGACAGTTTAGTGCATAAACTTTATCGCCATGTTAAATTTCATGAAAATCGTCAAAACATTTTTTTTTAAATCTAATAAATTATTTTGTTAAATATTAAGCATCTGCTATAAGAAAATACTGGCACGATTACATATATCATGTACGTAATTTCAGATATTATTTAACGATTGAAATGAATGGTAACATTTTTTATAAAATTAGAGGAGTTTTGCAGCCATTTGTTATTGACTTGATTGACTTATCACATCTTCGATTCCCAACCAATATATTTCGAACAATTTTTGATTTTTTAAAAATGATTCAGGATTGTGAGCCAAAACGTGGACGAAATGTCTTACACTTATTTCGCTAATTACAAAGAAACGGCTCGGCCGATCGTCGCACAAAACTGACAAACGATAGTCCTCGTAGAGATACATCGAATGGCTTTTAAATTTTTAAAATCGATTCAGGCGTTTTTGAGCAAACGTCGATGGCAAACGCCAAAAAACGTCACCAATTTTTGCAAATTTTGACGAATTTTTAAGATTAAACGACTTGTCGTAATATTTTAGTATGATCTAGAAGACCATGATATCTATCGTTCAAAAAAATCATGAAAATCGGCGAAATTTTTTTTTTATAACTTGAGGTGAAATGATTTAAGGTAAAAAATATGTTCACATACTTTTCCCACATTTGTTCTAATTCGATTCCGAATGGCTTGAAACGTCGAGAAAATGTAAAATCAATAAATCGATTTTTTTTATTTAAGTTCTTTTTCAGAAATTATCATTTACAGATCACCTAGAACATGTGATAACACAACTTTTAACACAAATATAATAAAAAAATAGTGTAATCATTGATATAGAGAACTAAGTGCTACCTGTAATAGGGGTAACTAGTAACAAACGTATTTCAGTAGGATCTTAAACGATATTAAAATATTTTTTTGTCTCGATTGGACATATAAATCATCCTGCATAGAATTGTCGTAGCTACTGTCCCGTAGACAGGAACTTGTCATAAACTGAACTGTGCAGGTCCGTCATTTTTTACAGGCAATATAAAATTGTCTATCTATCCTATCTATCATAAAATTTCGGTTTGCGTTATTATTATCGACTAATTTTAAATTTTATATATCTTATCTCGTTTCAATTTTATCAATCTTCGATAATGTGTAACAATTTTTGTTATTGCTACATTGTATAAATAGTTAACTTGATTAAAATAAAAAAATCACACTTGGGGTTCGTTAAAACAAAACCTTAGGGCTATCTGTATCGTACAAAATTTATGCACAGATTCAAGTGAAGAATATTGAATAGAATTTATAGTTCATAAGATGTGAGCACATGTAAATTGTATTACAGGAGACAATATATCTTTCATTGGTATTATGATATTAATTGTAGTTTGTGTTAATCCATAAAAAACATGTATATTACAGGAAGCATTAGATTTTATTCGTATTAATTATAGTTTGCGTTGATGTATAAGAAGAATTACTAAGAAACAAATCAATTTTCTTGAATATAAGTAGAGAATAAATTATCAGAAGCGTATTTGTTGCTTTCTTTCATTGCTACTTGCTCCGGTAGATTTTACAACTAGTTCCAAACACGAGGTAAGTTGTAACACCCCATTTTTCTAGAAATTGATTAATTGTGAAATAATAAATAACATGTGTGGATATATTTTTACTTGATTCGGTAGAGGAATAGTTACAGCAACTATCCATCTTTATTTTGTAGAAATTTATATACGAGGTCTGTTCAAAAAGTACCCGGAATTTTCGTTTTTTCAAAAAAATATTTATTTATTCGTCTACATTAATGTGGTCCCCTTCAAAGTAGTCCCCCCCAGATATAATACACTTATGCCAGCGTTTTTTCCAATTTTCGAAGCACCCTTGATATTCACTTTTTGATATGTCCTTGAGCACTCTCAGCGATTTTCTTCAATCGAGGAAAACCGCCGTCCTTTCATGGGTCTCTTCAACTTTGGGAATAGGAAAAAGTCACACGGAGCCATATCTGGTGAATTTTTGCACTTTGCAACACTTTATTTCATTTTTTACGCAAAATTTAATACAAATTCTTTGACTTTTCAATTCTTCCATTGTAAAAATCGCCGAGCTCAGAAAAACACGTCGAACCTTAGCGACTACCACAGACAAAGTAAACAGTGAATATAGCTGAAAATTTCATCATACTTTAGGGGCATGTATACCAACACAATAAAAAAAAAAAATTGACAATCAGACACTCCAGACCCGCGAAATTTAATTATTAGTAATTCCGGGTACTTTTTGAACAGACCTCGTATATATAAACAGTGGATTTCAAGATATATTAATTAAAAAAAAACTGTTACAACAAGTCCCTATCTCCCCTAATGTGAGTACGATGATACATAATATAAAATCAAAGAATATTTAAAATATTCAATATAAAACAAAAATAATAAGCAAAAAAATAATTATAACCAGAACAACAACGTATACTTACAATACACGGAGTGCTGATAAATTTGCCAGGGCCAAATCGTGAATAGAGCTTATCCTGTTTCTTTTTAATAATCTGCAATATTATAAAATATATGTATTTAGGTAAGTATTTTAATAACCATGTCAATAGTATAAAAAATATTTGTAATATTTAAATTTTCAATCTATTTTCTATAAATTTTCGTTAGATCTTATAAATTTCACTAGTATCACTTTATAATTAGATTATTTTATGATGGTGTACATACATATATATATATATATATATATATATATATATATATATATTATATATATATAAATTATACAGAGAACTTACAAAATAGCTAAATGGTCCAGTTCTGAAAATGCATCTTCTTCCAGAGTTGTTAAAGAATTGTGTCCCAAGTTTCTGTAAAAAAAATATAAACTTACAATTAGTTCTCTATCAAATGACATACGAGTAAACATAAATTTCAATAACTCTAAATTATAAACATTAAACTACAAAACAACTAGTACAAATTTTATTTTAATCTTTGAAAATGTAATTGTCAGATAATCAGAGTCGTCAGAGTCATTTCCTTATCTATGATCAGAATTTTTCGCTTTATGATGGGCTGATCGCTTTAGATCATATGTTATATTTTCTGCTATATTTTACATTTTCCTCCTTTTATAGTTTTATATTTTATATTTGCTGAGTCGTTTGACACCGAAAATGGAAAAAGTAGAAAACTAAGTTTAAAGTGACCATAAGTCCCGATTTGCTCGGGAAAGTCCCGAGTTTTCTTAAAAGCATTATTTGTCCCAGATTTCTCTCGTTTGCCACGGGGTTGTCGAAAATATGTAGGTTTAAAGTAAATATTCTCAATTACTTGCTAATAAAATTACAACTAACCATCAAAATTTTATTTTCAATCTCGTGAAAATTCACAATAATGATGAACACGAACGAACAAGTGCTAACTTTTCAATTTAATTATGAAGAAAATTGAACAGAATTTTATACAAGCACAAAAGCAAAAAAAAAATGTTAAAAAAAATGTTTTTTATAATATCCTTAAATATTTGTTATTTCATTATAATGTTTAAACTATTTGGAATAAATCTTTACTGCACACTTAAATTCACTTGTCGAACATTGACTGAAATTAAATATATTAAAAAAATAATACAATTACAGATAGGGTAAGGCGGGCACAAAGGTCCAATTTAAGTTTGACTGATTATATTGTAAATTATATTGTGAAACAATACTTCACAATATAATCTTCACAATACAAATAATACATATCAAACAAATCTGACTATGTTCAATGTAACTTCCAGCCAAATTTAAAATACATCATTGTAAAAATGTGTTTTTTTGGCTGCTTTTTGAAAAATTTGTCACCTTGTTCTTTTTGCCTCATAAGCGAAGTAACGGCCAAGGAGCAAACAGGTCTAATGTATTATTTCTAATTTTGAAGAGATTTTACGAAATAATAGCTAGAGCTACATTATTCAACCAAATTTCAAAGGTACATTTTTTACATGATAACACTGTTTATAACTCTGCTATTTTGTCAGAAATATTCATCAGCAGAGTTGGGATAACTATTTATTTAATTTACTTCTTGTGAAATTGCTTTTTTAACTTAATGTCTTAATTTAACTTTGTCAGAATAAAGATTCATTGGTCTTTTTTACCCCACCCACGTGTGAGCTTTTATTGAAATTATATAAAAAAAAGTTGTATCTCACTTAAATGTAACAATACGTTTTATAAAACTAAACAACAGTGCTCACAACTAAAAAAAACTAACAACAAAAAATAAATAATAATACTTCTGTTTAGATTTTCAAACATTGCCGTTCATCTCCAAATAGCAACGTGGTAAGAATCAAGGTTATGGCTGGTTATACATCTTTTGCCCTCTACTTTCAAATATTGTTGTTAACGACCTCTTAACTTTACTCGTTTTTAATGCATCGGTGGTAAACCTTTTTACCCGCGGACCCTATTGAAGCCCCGCTGTACCCTATAGTAGGTTTTTTTGAAAAATATCAATTGAAAACTGCACTTTTATTTTTATATTTTTATATTTATATTGTTAAAGTATATATATATATATATATATATATATATATATATATATATATATATATATATATATATATATATGCACGATTGCCAATTGTTCAACAAACATGTTTAGCGCCTTATGATATAATTGATATGTATACAACTCCATATCTTTATGGGCTCTAAGAAAAAAGTGAAAGCTAAAAGTCGTCCTCGTTCAAATCTTGACATTGTAATTCTGATATGAATATTTAATAAGTTTCATTCGATTGAATTAGATGTAGGTGCTATCACACAAAAGTAAAGGAATTCAAGTCACACTTTGAACCTTATACAACACCAACACTTATTTTACAAAACATTTTAGTCGTATCAAAATTTACAAACAAAATGCTCACGATTTTATTCGTCCCATTCAGTAACCAATATAATAAATATTGATAATTATTTTAATAAAAGTGAAAAAGTATTTATATTTATATTCATCATAGGAGTCAAATATTATAAACATTAATAATCATATAATTTTGTGCAAATAGTAATCTGTTAAATTTAAAAATCGTTGAATGGCACTATAGATTGTGTAAAAGATCTCATTTTAAGGAATGACATTCGATTTCCACCTCGGATAGCCTGATGTCAAGCAGAAGTGGCCTTGGTTTTCAGTTGGAAGTATAGTGAAAATAACCCTTACCTTGCATTATATTAAAAATATATCTTCATTATTAGAGAAATCATAATAATGAAAACAGACTAACTGTTGGTTTGCGTTTTCAAAATTCACGAAGTAAAGAAGTATCATCACAACAGATCATAAAATTTTTAAGTTCTGATTTCTGTTGAAATAAAAAAAACTGATATAGCTGCGTTTAAATATTAGCTATAAGTCATCTTTAAAAAAATGTCATCTGTAATAAAAAAATAAATATGTATGTTTATTCGTATCATAGATATAAGACAATTGACATTCCTGATTATTTTAACATCATCAACGTTTCCTAGAGCATTTTCTCATTGTTTTTGTGCAAAGTGCAAAAAATAGCAGTTTTTGAAAGAACTAAGCATCCGATTTGAATGATACAAAAAACTTTCTGCTTGTGTCGATGAAAGGATTGCTTTTGAGAAAAGATTTTTTTCTTATTTTTTTTTAATTTAATTTTTTTTTTGAATAAGGAAAAATTATTCGGTTTTTAATTCTAATTCTAGCTAAAGTTCTAAAATAGTTATATATAATACTTCAAATAATTATAATAATGTATTTGAAAATATTTAATGTTACTCGAATATTTCATTAAGGTACGGAAAGTACCAGCAATTTGCCGTAAGGCACGATGCCATACACCACTAGTTTATTTATTTATTCATAAGCAAGCCGTAATCAATAATAATAAATATTATTTCAGGCTCTTGTCTCTTATAAATAAAAATCATTAAAAATATATTCAAAATTTGTGGAATATTTATTGACTTTAGAACTCAAATTGTTAATATTTAATTCGCTATGTTAAAAGTGGCAATTTCAAAAAATTTTGAACTTCGAAACAAAAATTTTCAAAAATAGAAAAATGTGAAATATGTAATATTAGAAATTGCAAAAACCAAGAACGCTAAATTTTTAAAATCTAGATTCCAAAATAATTAATTTTGGAAAATCATAAATATTAATAATGGATTAAATAAAAAATCTAATAAAAATTTCCAGCATCATGGTACGATGTGATGTGATCCATGTTATGTAGTGTTTAATTTTAATATACATATGTATTATTATATATGATATATATATTTTCCTATTTTTGAACAGCAATTAACATTTAACAGTATCACAAGCTGTTGTGGTAAGTTTTTCCGTAACAATGTCGCTCATTAGTAGGCAACCCAATGGTTACCCTAAATTTATTGATATGTTAATATTATTATTATTAAAAAATTTCTAATACTAAACAATATATTTTTAATTTCATGGAGCAATGTCCAGAAAGCGCTATTTTCACATGATAACATAGAAAATATTGTAAGATGTTGAAAATATTATTATTTAATAAGCAATCATACAAGACGTCGCGCCCTTGACACGGCTACTCGGCGATCGCATTGTTAAATAGGCGTATTATATCTGCGCTTTCTGGTTTCGTTATTATCGATAATATTTTGTTTTGATTATGCAAATAACAGACAGGATTTTTAAAAACAGATAATGTTAATATATTTTGTTACAATTTGTGATAACCACAATGCATGCTAATAATGCTTGAGAGTCCTGCAAATCCTGCAATGCAATGTATGCCACCACGAGATAGGGACATAAAATTTATATCATATTATTTATATAATATTTATTTATTTATTTATTCCTAAGCAAGCTGTAATCAATACTAATGCATTTTATTTCCGGCTCTTGTCAAGCTTATTCTTAATTAATATTAAACAGATAGTAATTTTAGAATAATCATAATAGCTGCACGAATTTCGTTTCTGAAAAAAGAGCTGAAAAAAAGCATCCGAACATTAAATACAATGTTCATCATCAAGTTCATCATATTAATGTCTATTTGACTACCAGTCAAGCTCAAAATTCTTGCACAAGGTTGAAAGTTATACTTATTTGACCGTAAAAATTTAAATCAATAAAATAGCAAGAAAAAACACATGGTTGTATAGGCGATCAAATGGTCAGACTACATAGATAAAATATAAGGATTATGCAAAAAATAGTTATTGAAATCAAATTGAGAAAATTCAATAATGTCATAAAAAGCTAATTCTTTAAATATGGGTCTGCAGGAGACTTTACTGGGCAAGGAAAAAATTATTCGAATAGCTCTTTTCTGAAGCTTAAATATGTTTAATTAGTTCGGATAAAAAACCCCAGAATTGGATGCCATATAAAACGTGAGAATAAAAGTTGCTATAATAAATTGAAAGTAAACAAAATTTAAACCAAGTTTGGGTTTTAGGGTGCGCAACATAAAACATGTTCTAGATAAAGTTGGTGATAGTGAGATAGAGATATGATAAGTCCACTTTAAATTATTATTAATATGAATACCGAGAAACTTTAATACTTGCGAAAAATTAAATGCTAAATTATTGATGGTTAAAGAAGTAATATTATTGGATAAACGATTTTTTGTACAAAATAATATGATTTCGGTCTTATCATAATTTACGACTAGATTATTTTCACAAAACCATTTCGTTATTCCTGACATAACCGCACTTAATTTATGTTGTAATTCATTAAGAGATTTGGCCTTGATGATAACGCTGGTGTTATCCGCAAAAAGAATAAAATCACAAAGATTTGTATAATAGGGTAAATCATTAATATATATGAGAAATAAGAGAGGCCCTAAAATTGATCTTTGGGGCACACCCAATGTACTTGTCAATTTATCCGAAATTATTTGCTCGTGATCATTATTTAAGTAAACGCTTCGTGTTCGATTAGACAGGCAAGATTCAAATAGTTTAAGTGATCGTCCGCGAATACCTCAATTTTCTAATTTGTCAAGAAGTCTTTGATAAGAAATACTATCAAAAGCTTTAGACAGATCGCAAAATATTGCAGTACAATATGTGGCTTCTTCGAAGGAGTCAATGATGTTATGAACTAAATTATAAATTGAGTGGGAAGTAGAATGGTTCTTCTGGAAACCATGCTAATTCTTGAACAAAATATTATATTTATTGAGAAAAGACGTTCATCTAGTATGCAAGATTTTTTCAATTACTTTATCGAAAGAGTTGAAAAGGGAAATGGGACGGTAATTATTTATATCGTCTTTATTATTTTTCTTAATACACGATTACACGATTTTTTCTGGAACGTATCTACCGTTTAAAACCCGAGGATGTGTGTATAAACAATAAAAAGTTTTGTATGTATTATACTATGTATAATAACACTTTTTGGTATTCAAATCAGCATGAAAAATATTTCTCATTATCTGTTGCAATTTATGTGCAGATAAAGTTGTAAAATTTAGAATATATTATACACATTTTAAAATGCAGATTATTTTAGAATTACATATAATTAAAGACTGCAGGTAAAAAGGCTCACCACCATTATCTCAAACTCAAATTAATTATACATTTTTTTAACAATACTATTCTAAAGTAGAGTGCAAAAGATGTGTAACCAATCACAAAAATTCTTACGACATCGCGATCAGGAATAAACGGCAATGTTGAATATTCATAACAAAAGTACCTCTCGTTGGTATTTTTTTGGTTTGGAGCTCATAAGGCTTACGATACCTCAATTTATTTTAAGTATTATTTTTTTTTATTATTTTATGAAATGTATTGTTAATTTTAAGTTAGATTCAACTATATTTTATATAACCTATATAAAAGCTTAAATGTGTGTGGGGTAAAAAAAATCACCTGAGTCTTTACTCTGGCAAGGTGTGAACAATACAAAAATGGTAAATAAAAAATTTAATAGAGTTAATGGGATAAAAAGGGCCAGATATATATATATATATATATATATATGTATATATATATATATATATATATATATATATATATATATATATATATATAATAGTTTAAAATAATATAATAGTTTTTTGTTTGTTTTGAATTAACACTCATTTAATTAATTTTAATTAATTGCCATTGTCAGTGTTATAAAATCTAGTAGCCTTTTAAATATTTGGAGAATTTTCATTATGCGTACAGATACAAAAAGTAAGTTAAAAAAAGTTTGCACAATATTTAAATATTAATAAAAAATCATAATTCTATAAGTGCAATATGAAATACTTATTTTTGACCCGATTTCATATACAAAACGACCTTGACAAAAATTAGCGTAATTCCAAATATTGAAAGATATTTCATTTTTTCTAAAAACAGTCGATACGTTTTATAATTGGATATTAACTCAAATAATTGAAATTTTTAATTTTTTTTAAACAGTTGATGCCATTATACCATTAGATATTAGTTCGGATTATTGGAACTTTTGTAAAATTTAATAAAAACGGTTGTTCTTTATATATTTTGATTGGCCCATAAGAATTTTACGATTAATAAAACTGGTTTCTAAAATGAAACTAATTGAAACAAAATTATCCACCCAAATATGAAATATACCTTTGTAACTTGATATATCTCTTCCACATAAACAGATGAGTAATACAGAGTTGTCAGAAAAGTTATATTAATTATTGATTTTAATTAATTTTCAAAATTTCGAAACGCAATCCAGCTAGTGATGATTTATAATTTAACAACACAAACAATAAGTCTTTTATTATTCGAATTTGTATAAATATATCTGCATATCATAATTTTACTTACAGAGTGTTGAGCATTCGTAGTGGTTGTAGAGCTTCAGTTGGAACTTGAAGCAGCCCGCATTTCTGCATGTGTAACTTCTTCAAAACCTTGCACCCGACGAAGGCATCTCGATTTAACGTCAGCAACCGATTTTCGGACAAATTTCTAAAATAACAAAATATTTTTCATTCATTTATAATAAGTTTGATAAACATTGTAATTAGATAAATTGTAATTTGCCGTTGCTCTACGTAAAGCATATTTGTTGCGTTTGACAGTACAATGTATGACAGTAATAGGTGAAGCGGAGCTTAAAGGCCTGCAAGTAAAAAGGTCTACCATAACAATTAACAACTAGTGGGGTGTATAGCATCGTGCCTTAAGGCAAATTGCTGGAACTTCCCGTACCGTAACGAAATGTTCGAGGAATATTGAATGTTTTCGGATAGATTATTATAAATATTGTAACATTGTCTAATATTTATAAGTAACTCAGTTTTTAAGAGAACAGAGTGTTCTATTTTAATAACTCAAACCATTTTACTTGTATTGACAAGATGAAGAACTGATTAAGTTTTTGGGAAGGCAGGTTCAGCGGTTATGGACTCTCAATAAAAATAAGTTAAAAAATGTCATTTGACGGTCAAAAATGTTTATTCGAAATGTGTACATAAAATTATCAGATATTTTATAGAGATTTTAATAATGTGTACCCATTTAGTTTGATAACCTCTAAACCACAATACATGTGGTTGGTGTAAAAAAACAACAAAACCTTCTTTACAATGGGTAATTATACTGATAATTATATGATAAGCGTAGGATAAGTTATAGTCGCAAAATATTCGAAATTATATCGCAACTAGCTGTAAGTGAAATTCTGTCTTAAGGCAATTAGGGCATCGTGCCTTAAGGCAAATTGCTGGAACTTCCCGTACCAAAAATTATTATTTTTTTAAAAACGATTAACATTTTTGAAAAAAATTTACTTCGAAAAATTACTTTTTTTGAAAAAAAAAAAATTATTTGAAAAAACAAATTTTTTTTTGAAAAAAAAATTTTTTTTTTGAAAACAAAAAAATTTTTTGAGAAAAAAATGTTTTCTTCATTTTGACATATTTTGGAAATTCTGAACTTTTTTTCAAAGCAATCGCACTGCTTGAACTGCATAGAGACAAAATGTCAAAGCTCGCAAGTGCCGCGCCGCCGTCTAACGCATAAGCATTGGTACGGAACCCATAAAAATGTAAAAAAAATTTATACTTATTGTTAAAATCTCTATGAAATATCTGATAATTTGATGTGCATATGTCTAATGATCATTTTTAACCGCCGAATGGCATTTTTTTTACTTTTTTCATTAGATCTCCGAAACCGCTAGACCTGCCTTCATGAAAATTTGATCAATTTTACATCTTATCAATACAAGTAAAATGTTTTTTGAATTATTCAAATCAGACGCTCCGTTTTCTTAAAAACGGACGTACCGTTTTTGGCACTTTTTGCCCCGTATCTTCGGAACGGCTAGACCTGCCTTCGCCAAAAACTAATCAGCACGTCTCCTTATCAATACAAATCGAATGTTTTTTAAATTATTCAAATCGGTTGATCCGTGTTCCCGAAATCGTCGACAAAAATTTGTATCCGCACATACATACACACGCGTACATACATACATACATACACACACACACACATACATTCATTTTTTCTAAGGTATGCCAAAATGTTCAGAAACCTCTGAAACGTAAAGATATATAAAAATTTTCATTTTCGATTTTTTTGCGATTACTATAACTTGCCCTACGGGAAGTTAAAAAAATCGAAAATGAAAAATGTTGCATATATGTACGTTTGAGAAATTTTGGCATACCTTACAAAAAAATGGATGTGTGTGTATACATTTGGATACAATTTTTCGTCCACTTCCTACTGATTCGATTCCTACTGATGGGAAAACGTGCTGATTAGTTTTTGGCAAAGGCAGGTCCAGCCGTTTCGAAGATATGGGAAAAAATGGTAATTCAGTTTTTGAGATAACGGAGCGTCCGATTTGAATGATTCAGAAACTTTTTAATTTTTGAAGTTCACTTATAAGATTCAAACAAATTTCAAAATTTTCAGATAATTTTTTTCAAAATTTTCAAAAACATACAAAGTTTTATACTTAAAATATAAATTTTGAATTTACAATTTAATTTAAAAATGTATGTATTTCATATGCGTTATTGTAATCGTAAGAAATATATCCTCAGATGAATTCATTCGGCATCTCTTCTTAATGTAAACATTTTTAAGTGTTTCGAGATCGTCACTGTATATAATATGCGATGAAATAAGTATATAATAATTATAGTTTTTTTTTGAAAATATTTAAAAAAAATTGTTATTAATCATCATTTAATATTTATTGATTTTTTTTTTTCGAAAATTTAATTCTGGTACGGGACGTTCCAGCAATTTGGCTTAAGGCACGATGTCATGCACCAAGAGTTTGTTTTATATATGTTATGCATTGTGTTGTTGTTGATTTGGTTTTCACAGTATAATTATTAAAAGTCAAATTAGACCTTTGTGTTTTAACATATTCAGCTTTTCTAGTTATAAATTACTTAATGGGCCTTTTACAACTGTTGATACAAATTCAATAACTTTTTAACATTGTTTCAGAAATATTAAATCCAAATAAAGTATTTCCAAATATTGTATCCACATAAAAGTTGAAAACAAAATCATCAGCAGCAGTTAAAATAACAAGCAACTTTACATAATATAAGCATTGCAATTATTTATTCATTTATTTCAGATTCAAAAAATGCAATTGAAAACAAAACAGTATGATAATGAATAATAGTAATTGGGGAAAGCATTACCATAAACTTTAGCTACATTAAAGTTTCCATTAACGGTATCTGCATAATTGCTATCAGAATATATTACACAAATTATGCAAATGGATGTCTTGGCCCAATACGAATGTCGTATAGCAAATATAAGATAATATAGCAACCGACATTATCTCCACTACTTATGCAAGAATAATATATTTCGTGTTATATTTTTCTGCATCAAGCTGTAGAAGTATATCCTTATTTTGCATTAAGATTTTTTCGATGATAAAACGAAAACCATCCTGGTAGAAATACTTACAATTCTTCTAGCTGTTCGTATTCTGCGAAAGCTCTTGGCAACAATTCCGTTATGCTGTTGTTAGACAAGTCCCTGAAAAATAATAAAAAAAATACTATTAGATTTTATTTTACATTATAATTATAAATATTGTTAATATTGACATGAAATCTTTCATAAAGAGGAAAATAAACGCAACATTTAATTCTATATAAAATAACACAAAGTATCATGTATAAAACCAAGTAAATTCTATAAATGAATAGAAAAAATTGTACAGAACCCTAAAATTATTATAGTAGGATATACTGGATACAGTTGTGCTACTTTTTTTGATCAGCAAATTTTTTGGTAATTTACCACTTAGCTGTGAGAAAAGTTAATTAAATAGTAATGGTAGTGGTAAATGGTAATTTGCTTACGTAAAAATACTGAAATACGGTTTTTAAATACTATGGATGGATTTATCATTTTTTTTTATATATTTTTTTTTTAAATTTTTAACAGCGATCAGAACTTATGAGTTCAATGAGCTGTTGTGATTAATTATCTTACAATTATTAAAGATGGCAACCCAAACAGTTGTCCCATCTCTATGTGCTGAATTTTTATTATTACAATTGTTGTAATAGTGATGACTTTTACTTCCAAGTGGCATGTTGCCACTACAGCTATGCCCACGAAAGGCCATTTTCACTTGAAATCATATTTGAAATCTATGATTTCAAGTGAAAATTTGGTATCAAGCTGCAGATTTATCATTAAATCAAAACATACAAAAAAAGTGAGTGTCACAACCGTCCACACCCGAGGCACGGTTGTGACAGACATAAATATAGGTTAAAAACTATAGCTAAAGACGCTAAAATGGTTTATAACTACAGTTACTGTCTTTTTACCAATAATATGTAACACAAAACAACAAACATTTAAACAAAGTTTATAAATATAATACAACAATATATAAGGTTTTCGGAAAGCCACTTCGTATTTTTATCACCAGAATATAATTATATTTTTTTTAACCTAACATCACACCTAAGCCCTATAATTATTATATAATTTGAAAACTTATATTTTAAGGATTGTGTGTAAAAAGTTCTAATCAATTTCATGCAGTAGTTTTTAGATGGTGCCACTTTGAATACGGAAAGAATTATGCAGCATTTTCGACATATTTTACTCTTTTGCTATAGAAAAGGTAAAAATACTGTTTAAGTCAATATGAAATTGACCGATGTGTACGGAAATGACGTGTTGGTAGTATGATAGGGCCAAAATTGGTTTGCTAAATTTCATTCCTGGTATTTTGATGCCCAAGATGCATTAAGTCCAAGAAGTATGGTTGAAGCTGACAAAGACGCGAGAAAGGCATTAGTTGATGCAAACCGGCGAATAACAATAAATAAGATCCCATTGAGTTAAAATTTATCAAATTCAACAGTTCATGATCACTCAAAAGGTCTGGGATTTTCCTCGAAACTCAATGTATAGTTCTCATAGAAAGAAACGTGTGTCGTTGCACACCTGAAAATTATCAGGTTTTGAAGCCAATTGTCACTAGGAATGTCAAATGGGATGTGAAGAACACAATACACGCAATTGCCCATGAAACAAAGAAGAAGAACCTGCTCAAAGTAGGTGCTAAACTGAAATTGGCCAGAAAAAGGTGATGCAGTATGTTTGGCAAGATTTTAAAGGAGTTGTTCATTTTTCAGCTTTTTCAGGATAACATAACGGTTAATTTGGATGCCTTATATCATCATCTGTATAAACTAAATAATATACTTCAATAGAAAGGGTCAGAATTAACCTACAAGCAAGGTATAGTCCTGCATCAAGACGACGCAAGACCTTGCATAAGTTTGGTCAATTGCCAAAAGCTTTTGTAGCTTAAATGGATTCATCACATTTTCAAGACCTGCCACAATCGGACAATTATTTGTTCCGGCCACTAAAAAAAATGATCTATCTGACAATTAATAGTCATGATTAAAAGAATTTGAACATGAAAACTTACTTTTGGCTCTTTAAAAGCAATGCGGTCCACAGATCATGTTAATGTAAAGCAATGATTGAAAGCAATAATGGAAATCTGTTCGAATAATCATACTTCATATTTCTCCTTTTAGACCCTATCTCAAAATCAGTATAGTTTAGCTGCTCTAACGATTGTCATTACCCTCTCCTGGCACAGCACCTAGTCACCCCTTCGTCATTTAGTCAATGTTAGCCGTCGGCTTTTCTGTTTTTACAAAAACTAGAAAAAAATACCTAAATCGGTTAACGTAATTTGTCGAAACCTTTTTAAAACTATGTCTCAAGAAAAATTACATAAACTTTCCGATACATGTAAATAACGGACTTAGTCAAAAAGAATCGATATTTATCTACTACAATAAAATGTTTTCATCAAAAAATCCGACTCGCTAATTTTATGTTTTCTCGACGTTTCAACCCATTCTGAATCGAATGAGACCAAATTTAGAAAAAGTATGTGTGTGTGTGTGGGAACAGATTTTTTGCCGTAAATCGACGTTTTCTCCAAAACGGCTGGAACGATTTCAAAAATTTAAAGCGAGCTGTTTTTTTGTAAATCGCAGAAAAGTGAAATATTTTTCGTCCACATTTAGCCCGCAATTCTGAATCGATTTTAAAAATTCAAAAACCATTCGATAGATATTGGTTGGGAATCGTGCTGATTAGTTTTTGGTAAAGATCGGCCGGGCCGTTTTTTTGTATAAAGTTAAAGTTTTTTTTTTGACGGTAGATACTATAGTCTTCTAGATCATACTAAAATATTACGGCCCTACAAAGAGTCGTTTAATTTTAAAAATTCTTGAAAGTTTGCAAAAATTAGTATCGTTTTTTTTAGCATTTGTCAAAATTAGACTTTTGATCGACGTTTTCTCAAAAACGCCTGAACCGATTTCAGAAATTTAAAATCCATTTGATGTATCTCAATAAGGACTATCATTTGTCAGTTTTGTGCAGCGATCGGCCAAGCCGTTTCTTTGTAATTTGAAAAAAAGTGTTAAACTTTTTGTCCACATTTAAGCTCATACTACCAAATCGATTTTAAAAAATCAAAAACTGTTCGAAAGATATTAGTTGAGAATGATACTGATTAGTTTTAGGTGAAAATCTACCGAGCCGTTTTCTTGTAATTAACTGTTGAAAAAAAATATAAGCCGATTTTTATGGAACTTTTTTTGGCGATGTATATAATGGTCTTATAGAACTTACTAGAATATTACGGCCTCACGACAAGTAGTTTAATTTTGAAAATTCATCAAAACTTGAGAAAATGAGTAGTTTTTTTGACGTTTGTTGAAATTAAAATTAGACGATTTACTTGATATAACGATAGAGTACTTGGTCTTGATGTACATAGTAAACCATTAAAGTCCTACAGAAACTGGTTCAATTATAAAAATTGATTGATTTTTGAAAATTTGATTTTAGAAAATACTCCGAACAAATCCACTCGGAATACTTTTAATCACTCATAAATTAATTTATTTTTTATTGATTCCCGATTATTTATACATATCGGGAAGTTCATGTAACTTGCCTCAAGACAAGATACTAATACCAACTAGTTATGATATGAATTTAGCTTCTTTAATTAGTAATTTTAATTAATGAATTTTACAATAATTTAAAAAAATATTCGATTCGTATCATGCGGCCTATTATTCCAAGCTTTACTGAATTTTTCTAATATAACCAATTTCATAGACCTGGAATATATCAGTATGTTCTAGATAATGAAATCTATCGCCATTTTAAGTTTCATTAGAAACGCCAAAAATGTATAAATTACGAAGAAACGCCTCGGCCGATTTTTGCAAAAAAAATAGTGCGATTTCATACGTACAGAAGATTTATATATAATATATAAGATATGTGTGTGCATGTGTTAAGGACAGTTTTTTTGTTTTGTTTTGTTCCAATTCATTCATGTCCATTGAAAATTAAAGTTAAAATCTTTTGCTTTTGGCTAGACTGAAGGTAAAAAATGATATTGTTAAGATGTTGGAAATTCAATTAAAAAATATATATCCAAAGCATTTCGCAATTATCACTAGATAAAATCGACAAGATCCTCATAATTTTCGGAATAATTTATTTTTAAACAATTCTTTATGCTAAAACAACAATGTAACAAACCTGTTGTCGATCTGAATAGTAAAAACTTGCTCTAGCTTATCCTGCTTGTGGATTATATGGTTTAATTGCTCCAGCTTTACAAATTAATTGCACATACATATCTCAATATAAAAAACTGAATATATAATAAATAGTTTAGACTTTATTCCTGGTTCACATATTTGATATATTTTTGCAATGATATCAGATAGTATGTATAGATAATTTATTGCCTTACTAGTTCCCTAGCTCATCGCTTTTTGTCATCACATAACTGGATTTCGAAGAGTCAAAAACGAAAAATATCGATTTGATTTTATTTGCTTCTTCAATAGATCAGTCAAGCTATTTAATTGTTTATTTTCTCACAGCATTTTTGACCGATTTGTAAACGAAAGGATTAGTTGGACACCAAATGAATTGATACTGTGTCGACTGAGATGCTTTTCCATGAATAATAGTTTAAAACACAATTATTCATTCTCGTTTCCCCGAAAATTCGAATATAATTAAAAAAATATGAAGTTTAAATAAACAATTGGATTGGAAAGATGGTTGGTAAAGCCTATGATATGAATTCTATTTCACCTCTTCTGGAGTAATTGAAATATAAATAAAATTTTTGCACTTATCATAGGTAAAAGTTTGTAACAAATATATAAAAGACTGAACAAGCAGTTTATATATGATCAACATTTAAAAAACAAAAGGTTTTCAATTCTTGTTTATCAACCCAATTATTTTTAGATATGTAGAGAAGATTATGCAATTTCTATTGAAACAAAATGCTAGTTACATCTAGTTTATTCACTTTTTATTTGTCTCCATTATTCTTCTATGTTTTCTCTGGTTGGTATGAGTTTTACTATTATCATTTTTTATATCGTTGTTGCAAATAACTTCATTTTTATTATAATTATTATACAACAGCAGAATACGGG